GAACTTTTCTATATTGCGCTATTCGGCAAGTTACACTTCATCAAGTCAACAAACTAACTTCACTTCAACTACATATAAACTTTTGATCTGAACATTCTGAACGCGGTCTGATGTTTTCATTTCAAAAACAGAAATCTTTACATGGACTGACGTCAGAAAATTTTAACATTCCCAAAGCCTGTAAGTTTTAGTATATACGTATTTATTTTTATTCCAAATGAAAAAGCTGCATATTTTAGATTTCAATTTCGCGTCCCGATTAGTGTAGTAGTTAGCTCATCCTAGAAATGTTTATAATTAGGTAAATTATTAAAATGCAAGCAGAAGAGGAAATGAATTAATTCAAATAGGAATGAATAGGAAGACTAAAATTCGGTGCAATAATTGCAATAGTGCAAAAACGAATGTGTTTCATAAAAACTAAATCGACTAACTTGTTTAATTATAAAGTGGTACTGAAGATCACAGTTACGTTTGCGGTTTCCAACGACATTATGGATGAATGTGCATGACATATTAGGAACATTTAAATTTGATCATTGATATGAACGTATTTACGTATTTTGGAATCTTAACAGCTTTAACCTAAATGCTGACGAAAAAAATTTGATTTTAAAGGAAATTCATGTTCTAGAGAACTTGGACTTATGAAAAATATCAAAAAATCAAAAGCAAATTACCAAAAAATTTCCTTAAGCTGTTGTTTGTCAGCGGTACATTTTCATAACATATGCTGCTGCTTAATTTAACCTATTAGTTTTAAGCATTGCATTTTTACTATAAAAGGAAATAGACCGTTTTTTAATTGTTCATTTTAATCATTTAGAAAATATTTTTCAAATTTAGAAACCCTCTTCCTCGTTATCCTCTACCATGCCCTTCGATGTAACGACATACAAGAGAGTGAGTGTTAAAAAATATTCCAATACTTAAAAACCGCGCTTTTTGTACATAATGATTACAGATTTGAAGAGCAAACTACCACCTGAATCTTGAATAAATAAATCTCGTTTTTCACTTTACGCGATAATATTAGAGCAATTTTAGACACCGAATCAAAAACCATTTTCATTTCTGTTTATTCTCAGTACTTGAGACAGTCTGATTATTTTGATAATTAGGTAAGGACTCTTACTTGGTTCATCCATTAATATTTATTAATACTTGAGACAATCCGCAACCACGTCGTCATTATCTCCAAAACGTCTTGCAAAAATGGTTTAATTGTAGAAAATTAACACGACGAGCGGCTGCGTTACGACTTTTAATAACTACTTTTTGAATTCTAAAAGAGGAAAAATCAATTACGCGAGTGTCTGGCTACGACTTATTACGAAGTACCTTAGCTTTATTTTTACAGCCGTTTTCTTTCTTAATTAAATGAAAGTTATAATCGCGTCTTAATTACATGTTTAGGAAAAGTTCTGATTATGCTTCTCGCATAACAGAGCGAGAGAGAGAGGAGCAAAAAGATTAATTAGTTGACTTCTTAATTTAGAAGAATCTTATTCGAAGTCATTTTAGTAGGTGTATTTACCAAATTAAAAGTTCGCGTAGTCTAATCTAAGTAGATAATTTCGTCAATTAACAAAGTACATTTTCTCGTTCCAGTTTTAACATTTTGGGCTGGGATTTCGTTTCGTTTCGTAACAATCGTAAGTCGCTTCCGTGAGTAAGCGTTTTATATGGTTCTTGTGCTGTGTGTGTGTGCATTTCTGCCCCAAAGACTCATCGCCGAGATAGTCGCCCTCGAGGAAACTCGCCTCCATCCTCCAGAATATTTTCCCACAGAAGATTCTTAATGGGCCGGAAAATTTTTGCCAGGAAAATGCGACCTCGCAAGAATTCGTTTTCTCAAGGAACTAGCTTCAAGGAAAATTCACGTTCGAGAAAACTGAGCCCCCCCTTTGAAATAGCTGCTATGTTCGCTTGCATTTCTGTCCGCTCTGATAAATTTACTACTGAAAAGGTTATTGTAATTTATGCATATTTTTAATTATTTTGATCCGTCTACGTAAGGCACTTACCTCGCTATGCTCTTATTTTTATTCCGACATTTTACCCATCTCCCAGTGCTTGGAGGGAGGCGCAAACATTTTCAAGCAGCCAATTTTGTTTTACTAGAGCGCATTTTTGCGACTGTGGTGTCTGCTTGTGCGCCCCTTCCTCGGTCTATTTATATATTGGGCTGTGGTCCCTGGACCCAACCACCATAGAGATGCGTGGCAGGTAAATATTTTATCCCTTGCCAATTTCCTTTTTTTTATTTATTTGTTTCCTCAAAATTTCCATAAAATTACAACCAAGTAATAATACTTTAGTATTTTTACTATTTTACTTATAAATAAATTTAAACAAAAACTGTAATGGACAGGTTGTGGTTAAGTGTCGCATTTGTCACACGAGTTGAGACACTATCATTTGCTAGACGCCTAGTGCCGAGCAGCAGGAAAAGAGTAAATGATCCATATATACCTAATAATTTTAAATTTAAAAAAAACTCAATATTTTCAAGCGAAAATAACCACGGTTTTAGGTTTTTTAAAACTTTACCAAAAACTTTGAGATGAATTTAGCTTTTATTTTTTTTTCACACAGATATACATGAGACTTTAGAATTGAGTATATAGCCCTTACTCCTTATAATGCAGATATTTAGGGGTGGTGATTTTCTAAACGTACATTTTCCTTTGGAGCATGTTCCCGACGAGCGCGGAACTCTAGCAAACCCTTATGCAGACGGACATATGGAATTTACATACTAAGCATCTTATTCACCTAACTGTTCAGTGTGGTATTCTGCAGAACAACAATTCAATTCAAAATCGAAGTCATAAATTAACGTGTACACTTTTACATAAAAAATAACACGTTCATTCTATGACATGTCGGTGATACGTGTTTGACATTTTTAACAATTTCGAATTGAATACTTGTAAAAGAGAGTGCGGCAGACGAATGTGAAATGTAACTCGACGTAAAATTGACAGACTTTTTAGTCTACTACTAAAGTGATTGCCCTTAATGAGTACTATAGTATTTATTATTTCTAGACGATTTAATCTGATATTTCTAACACATGTTGAAGGGTGCAAATTTATTTCCTTGTTTAATAATATCCTATACCGTACGTAAGTGAACGTTTCAATTTATTAAATGAAAGGCTTAACAAACAGTGCCATAAAAATAACCAATTTCATTTTTATTACTTAATAGGTACGGAATGAATCTCTTGTAGATATGATACAATATACCATTTATAAGATCGAAATCATAATAGATGGCAAGCAAAAGAGGGTAAGTTTATAGAGGGTTGAAATTAAGATGGGTGAAAGTCGTTGAATACAATGGGGCGCAGTGAAATGTTTCGAGTGTAATTCTAAGTTAGACTTTCAAATTTGTATGAAATAGTATGTGCTTGTTAATTCTTAAAGTTCGAAAGAAAAGAAATATTGGAAAAAATGAAGGATTATCACCGGATTATTAATATACGATCTAGATAAAATGTTGTAAAAATGGATTGCAATGCTAATTTTTCTTTATTTCGATCATTTACTTACAATTTTGTTTTCAATTACTAACACTAAACCGAGTATACTTATTGACATTCTTTTGACCATATTACGGAATACTGTACTCATTCGCAATTAATTACACGAAGAATGCCCTCTTATATTAAGCATTGTGTATTACCTACTATTTCAGATTTCAGGATGTTGTTCTAATTTGCCAAATTCATTCTTTGTAGCTTAATTTTATTGTATCAGCTATTCCTTTCTCTACTTATTAGTGCTTGACCAATTTTGTTTTAAAAAATTCTGAGGATTACGGTGTTTGAATAGTTCAGATTTAGGTATTTCGACCATCGCGAATTGAAATAAAGTAATTGCAAGATGAAGCCGCTTCTTTAAATACCGGAAAGTGGCGCCATCTTGGTTTTTTAATAGAAACATACAATTTTCTATTTTTTCCAAATGCGACATTTTATTTTGAATTAAAATTTGTAGATCTATCTGTTTTTGACGTATGTCAAGTTATCGATCAAAATTTGGAGATGCAAGAGTCCATATCTCTTAAACCGTTCAAGATAAGTGAGTGATTTTTTTACAATCGAATCCTTAAAGTCTAAGGAATTTTTTGAGTGACTGCCCAAAGCCTTGAAACAGTTTCCGGGACTTCGCGATTTTTCAAAATTAGCAATCACAAAACATCAACAACTTCAATTTTTCAAATCCATGAAGCTCTTCAGGTTCTTAATATTGTGTTGTCTTTTCAAATTCTGCACATTTTTCGGATGCTGTTATTTTTTCAAATTCTTCCGATTTTTAAGACTGTTAAAGTTCTTCAAGTACACCAGATTCTTCGCGATTCGTCCAATATTTCATTTTTTTGTTTCTGCCAGTTCTCACAACGATTTGTTTAAGTTTTTCGGATGCTTTAGATCCTTGAGAGTCGAGACCCATTATATCCTTCAAATTCTCAAGTTTTCATATTTTTATTTTTGATCAAATTCCCAACTCCTCAATCCTTCGATACATTAGATTCGTAAATCTTTGCCTTTTTTTCAATTACTCTAATTTCTCACTTTTCACATTGTAGTGAACAATCCAGAAACCTCGATAGAAATCGAGGCGTCATGACAGATTAGTCATCCGCGATAAAGAACGAAGGCGGATGTGACGCAATCCTTCCGGAAAAATGACGTGGTTATTCTATAACATTCCGAAGTGCCCTAGAATAATTGCCCTTTGCTATATAAACATTTCGAGTTGCGTTTCAGGCAGTTCTAGTTTCCATACTGAAGTAACAAATTGATCGCGCTGTTATAAATTGTGTATTCGCGAGTAATAATAGTTATTTATGCAATGAGTGTATAAATGAGGCGTTTTATTGGTGAGTGAGATGTTTAGTCCACGAGCGCAGCGAGTGGACTAAATTCGAACGAACCAATAATCGCCGATTTATACATGAATTGCATACAACGTTTTTTCGTCGACTTCACTGGGGTAGGTAATTTTAAATTCAACTACAAGAAATTACAAACGAAATTATGAGCTCCGACGATTTTTCACTAAATTACAGCTATTGTCGTTACTATAGTAATGTGTTGTTTTATGCTGTACCGTCAGTCCTCGTAATCGCAGTGGAAGATTATGTTGCTTGCTCTGCTGCGGAGACGATTTTTACATTATATCCACTCAAATCAAAAGAAACTTATTGGAACGGTTTCGATCAGTTCGGCAATTGATGGAATACAATGAATTTGAAAGGAGATATTTCCGAAAATGTCACGTTGACATTTTACCTTGAAAAGGTATGTGAAATTAGAATGTAATTAATTTTTTTGCAACTGTACTAAAGTACGTGTATTAACAGTGAAAGATATGGAAATGTTCATCCCTGTGGTCGACGTACTCAATGTTGAAGGTAAAGTAACTGAATACCTTATAACAATACCTTATCCGAGGAGGCTACACATACATACATCTGGATATGCTTTGCTGAGATCGTTTGGCGACCATACTGGCTGCTGATCTCGCTACATTAAAACCGAGATTAAAATGGTTAGGTGGATGGAAGTTCTAGCTGTTGCCGAAAGTGAATTGTTATATAATTGTCATTTCCCTTTAATAAAATGGTGGTTATGTATAAATGGTTGCTAACGTATAATGGTTGGTTGCTAACCATTAATGGTTGCTAACGATTAATAAGCTTCATCATTGTACTCGTCACTAAGGAGTAATTTATATTGTTATCAAGAGGTCGACGAAATAGTATATTATATACCACGGGACTGAAGTAGTACTTTTAATCCCGAAGGTAAAGTTTATGGCCCGACCGAAGGGAGGGCCATAATTTACCTGAGGGATTAAGACCACTACTTCAGTCGCAAGGTATATACGATATTTTTCGTACTTCCGAAACTGAAACACTTAATATGTATGGAGTTAGAGAAAGCGTTCTTTCAAAAAATCGCTGCTTAACAGGTTACCATGGGAACGTTGCGTTGATACGACAAACCCTATGCTATGGTAACAAAAATAATTTGGAAACTGTCATTGCTTTGGTCATAATTTTGGTGGTGGGTGACAAAGGTGTATTTGATATTAATCAAAAGCAGCCAAAATAGGTAAAGAATTGATACCACCGAAATCCAAAAAACTATATGAGCAGCAGTACGATGCGTTTAAAAAGTAGTGCAGCATACAAAATGTGGAACAACCTACTGAAATTGCCTTGTTAGTAATTTGATCCTTCCGGGATTTTCGTCCAAATTTAATCCCGGCGGGACAAAAAGTGACACTTCAGTACTTGTCATAAAGGAGTGAAGTTGTCACTTTAGTCTCGGAAGTACGAAAAATAATATTTAACTGTTATAAATCTATTCATTTCAATGTTAATTAGTTGTAAATAAATAAACGACGTAATTAAATTTACGTTACACTCGTGTCAAGTGTCGGGTTGTGGTCAAGTGAACAATTACTGGAAGTTTATCCCAATATTGTGGTTTTTGACGTTTTTGTATTACTTTTTGTAACCTCAACGGCTGCAAGGGTTCCAGTTTAGTAGAAGAGAAAAATGTGCGAGCATTGGGCCTTGGAATCTGTGATTAGTTTCGGTTTTTGCTCAAAGTGACAATTCTGAAAAAGACACACAAAGACATCTGGACCTTCGAAAATTTACTTTTAGATGAAACACTAGGTAATTGATAAACGTGTAGATATCAAGTACCAGCAACTTGAAACGACTTTGCGACTTATCTCTATCAATTTGGATATATACGATACAGTGTTAGTATCGATTTTGTGGAATTTGTTTACTATTACATTATGTTATCATATTTAAACAATGATGATAAGAATTGAAATGATTCATCTATACAAAAGAATCAAATGTAATGACATGGCCATTCAATATTTCGAGGATGACTTGCTTCGTTACAGGATGTGTGGGTGTATGTGTTCATGCATAATATTACAGTGTGGTTGATTATCTCAATTGCTATTACTTTGAATTTAGGTTTTTCATAATTTCCTTGTCGCACTTCATCCATCATCTTTCACATTTTCACACAAATGGTTCTCCGACTACGAATTACAGCAAAATCATAAGGTATAATCGAGTTGTTCAGCTTCAGCTACCTCTTCCCACTAATTTGTATAAACATCAATTGCAAAAGTAAATGACTACAATAACGAATTGATTGTTTAATTGCAAAGTATTCACCGCGTGTCCTTAAAAGTTTGGGTATAAATTAGGAAATTATGTATACGTTACTACAATTTGTCAGTAGCCGAACAGCGAAAGATGAAGACACTCACCATTTTCTCTCTAATTTTATCAACTGCTTGCTGCGTAAGTTTCGCGATTCCAAACGGAATAAATCTAACTTCGATCCATTCCAGATTAATCCAGAATTGGTCGAAATAATAAAAACGCGTATGCTGGAGACCGGTATGATGTGCATGTCGCAATTGGGCGCAACGGAAGGTAAGCCGATCCCCAAGATCTCTCCAAAGAATTTTGTAAGTTTTCAGCGGATGTCGCGCCACTAATCGCTAATCGACCTCCCGAGACAGAAACTGGAAAGTGTTTCTTGGCTTGTATGTTCAAAAAGGAAGGATTTGTATTGCTTACACTGTCGTCGTCCTTTGGTTGCTTTTATTGGTAATTTTCAGCTAAATGCAAACGGAAAAATTGACAAGGATAGTACGATGGCGGCTATTGAACAAACGAAAAATCTTGACGAGGATTACTATGTCAAGATTAAACAAGTGGCCGAGGCGTGTGTAAAGGGTAAGTGGAATTTTTAAGAATCATGCGAGTAAGGTAAATTATTTACAGTAAACGATGACGGTAATGACTGTGAAACAGCAACGATGCTTTATGCATGTATACTGAAAGAGAAGGCTAAGGTAAGCTAAGTTGTAAAAATTCATTTTGAAATAGCATTTCGCTTAGGTTGGCCTCGAAAATATTGATTTGAACTAGCAAGCCCGGTTAAGATACAATTATCCTGTTGTACACTATGTCACACTGAAATATACTTTTATATGTTTGTTGTCTTTCTGGTCTGGAATGATTATGTTCATGGTGTTTGCTTACAAGTGCACATTTAGAATGCATCATTAACTTTTTGTAACAAGATCTGCGGTTTCATGAACATTCATTCTGTAGAAGCAATATGTCGAATGTTTAGTGCCAATCTTACTGCTCAGTAAGTCCACTTATAAAAAAAAATTCACAGATTTCGCAATCCTTGCAACCATCGGAAACATTGGAAATGATAACCGCATAACGCGCATAACATGTAAAACGTAAATAACCCCTATTTACCCGCTATCACCGAACGTAGACTTTCTGAAGAATGTTTATGTTTAATGTTTATATGTTTATAATGTTTATTGCCACAAAAACAACTAATAATAAGAAGAAAAAAAAAGAAGAAATGCTACAAAACACACACATTTTAGAGGACGAAAGTGCTGTTACCCGAGTAGGATCTTACAATACCCATTAGCATTACTAAATGGAAAGTAAAAAATTAACAAAGACAGAGAACAAAAATCATCCAAGACTTTGTAAGGAATTTTTAGTCACTCATTTTTAGCGTTATTATCTACGATTGAGAAGAAACCTGAAACCAGTCAATTTTTATTATTATTCATTTTCCAATTTATACTACGAAACTATTACCACCCTCTAATACCCCCTGCGAATTATAGGCACTTTTCGAAAATTTGAAATAAAAAGGGGATCGTGTGGTAGCCTGTTTCAAATTCTCTAAATGCGGTGCAATCTTAACTGAGTCAATTAATTTTGAAGATGCACCAGCCGGCCCGTGTGGCGCAGTTCAGTTAAAGCTGAATCAAATGTCAAATGTAACAGATTGGTAAGTCATTATTTTCCTCGGAATGTAAGTAATAAGATTGTAAATTCCGCTGTCAATAGCAACCTGTAATGTAATTGGAGCCTTACATTTGACGTTGTCATGTATATAACTTACTCTTACAGAGACGAAAGCGCGAAAATAACTATTGAATCCCCTCAAACATACCACAGCTTTTAATACACATTTCCACTTCACTTTTCGAATTTTGTAGAATTTTCGTTAAAATATGGCCTACAATATAGTTTTAATGCACCAAAATTATTGTTAAGTGTTTAATCGTATTCCAGGTCACCGAAAACACAGGCATAGCCTATAGCATATACAGGGTGTAGGATTGGTTTACGCACCATAGTGATTTCAATAGTAATTTCTTATATTATTTTATCCCCTAATTATTTAACACCAAAGTTGTAAATAAATTTTTTGTAGATTGTAAAATTCTACATGCGTATTCATGTACCCATTTGTAGATTTTTATTGTATGCATAAACCCGTTCTAAGCCCTGTATATGACCGAAAGCAGAAAAACATCTAAATTTGGCGCTATTTTGGACGCGATCTCGAATAATTCACTTCCGGTTGGAATTCCAAGTTGGCAAACGGCATTTTCGGACTCGAATTAGGAAGCTAACGGTATTAGTGTTACATGAAATGCTTCTTGCATTTGAATTTTTGCAAAACAAGACCCGACTACAGGGACGGACGTATTTTTTTTAAATTTTTGTGGTAATGCGCTACAAAGTAAGATGTAAAATAATGTTGATGCCTTCTTATTTAAAAATTGTCCGTGCAGATGCTCTGCGATGCGTTTTGTGTCATTGCAGGGAGCAGGAACCCTTACTAACGGTTGGTACAGTGTAATTATATCGACAGATACTTTCTTTAAATAGTTGTATTGATCGGGTGTCTCTTTTGAGGTATCGTCAATTGGACAGCATTGAGAAGCTTGTGTTCTTTATTTCTGGATCTAGATACTGATCCATGATCTAGATCCAGGTCAAAGATCCACACGTAAAAAAGGATCTAAATCAAGATCCAAGATCCTCCCAAAATGATCTAGATCCTTTATAGATCTTTCATAGGTAAATTTGATTTACATGGGTGTATTTGTGCTTTGATTCATTATTCTAAAACCGTAAGGAAGGTGCCGCAATTTTTGTACTTTTCGGTATTACAATAAGATTTGTTTAGTATTATCGTTTTTTTTATTGTTAACATTAGTTTTAAACTGTTATTAATAATAAGAATATTACCTAGTAATCTGCATCATTAAATGGCAAAACATAAACCCAAATAAATATGCATTAAATGTACAGAAAATCGTTAGAATTTGCCCGCCTACACTAAATATTCTTTCTATGGGTGCAAAAGAGGACAGCACACAATTGTCTACTTACTTTTAAAATGGATACAACAAAAATTATAAAATGGAACTGTCGGGGACTATCTAACAATTTCAACGAACTGAAACTCTTAATTCAAAAGTATACACCATTGTGTATTGCTCTTCAAGAGACGCACCTGAAACCGAGATCAAAATACAATATAAAAAATTTCAGTCTGGTAAGGAAAGATTTTTACTCACCTGAAAGAGCCTGTGGAGGAGTGGCTTTTCTCATTCGAAAAGGCACACCATATAAAAGAGTTGTATTAAATACAACTTACCAAGCTGTAGCAGTACAACTTGAAATTGTTAAAACTTTTACACTTTGTAACATCTACGTTCCTAATACAGCATATGAAGTAGAACAAATTAGACAAATTATAAATCAGCTCCCAACACCCTTTGTTCTTGTCGGAGATTTCAATTCCCACAACATTTTTTGGGGCTCTACCTCAAATGATGCCCGAGGCAAAGAGTTATTGGAACTCATAGAAAACGATAACTTAAGTATCTTGAATAACGGTTCGACCACGTTTTTCAACGTGAGATCCGGAACATTCGACGCAATTGATCTTTCTATATGTTCTCCAAATATATACTGTAATTTTGAATGGGAGGTGGAAACTGATCTCCATCACAGCGATCATTTTCCCATAATCATTACTGTTAGAGGCAAAAATCTCACGATAAGATCAGTGGCTAGATTTAAGATCCCACAAGCAGATTGGGAACTTTTTACAAGTAAGTTCGTCCCTCCAGCCCTAGATAGCTTAAGTTTAAAAACTCTTACATCTGCTATATTAGACGCTGCGAACGCCAGTATTCCAAAATCCAAACCTGGCAATAAAACAAAAATGGTTCCGTGGTGGTCGTCTGAAATAAAAGAAAAAATATCATTAAAAAATCAAGCCTTATATAGATTTAGACGTAATCCTACGTTGGACAATTTAATAATTTTTAAGAAACGTCGTTCGGAGTGTCGCCGAAAAATACTGGAAGCACAGAGGAGCTCCTGGAATCATTACGTGTCCACGATTACACCGGACACTACTAGCAAGGAAGTGTGGAAAAAGGTTGGAGCCGTATCAGGTAAAATTGGTTGCAATAGTCTGGCCTTCTTGCGAGATTCAGAGGGACAAATCACAAATAAACCAGAGGATATATCGGATATCAAAGCAACCCAATTTTACCAAGTTAGTAGCTCCAAAAATTATGCGGATACGTTTCTTCACACTAAACAACATAAAGAATCCATTCCTATTATTTTTGATACTAACGAAAACTTAAATTATAATACTCCGTTTACCTTAGAAGAGTTGAATATCGCTATCCGTAACACCAAGTCATGTTCACCGGGAGAAGACGAAATCCACAACCAGATGTTTCATCACTGTACTCCTGAAATGCAACAAAGTATTAGATTTCTTTAATATTTGTTGGAATGAACATACTTACCCCTCGGAATGGAAACAGGCCGTTGTCATTCCTATACCGAAACCTGGAAAAGATCCGTTGCTGGCACAAAGTTATCGCCCAATTAGTTTAACGTCTTGCTTGGGAAAACTGCTAGAGAAAATGGTTAATGTGCGGCTGCAAACATTTCTTGAAGATAATAATATATACGTACCTTATCAAACGGGTTTTCGGAAGGGACGAGCAACGGCTGACCATTTGGTCAAATTGACCGATAGAATTCTGAGTGCATTTGACAGTGGTGAGCACCTGGTTGCGGTTTTCTTTGATATAAAGGGCGCTTACGACATGACTTGGAGATATGGAATATTGCAGAATATGTATAAATACAATCTTCGAGGGAACTTACCAAAATTTATAGAATCCTTTCTAGAGAACAGAAAGTTTGTTGTAAGAATCGGTGACATCCACTCAAAAGAGTATGTTTTAGAAAATGGTGTGCCGCAGGGGTCAACACTTAGCTGTTCCCTGTTTGGCATCGCCATAAACGAAATAGCTAAAGGTGTTGAGGGGATGATTGATAAATGTTTGTATGTTGATGATTTAATGGTTTGTTGTTCTGGTAAGACGGTCGGTGCAATAACTCGAAGTCTACAAGTGGCCATAAACAAAATCTGTAGTAACGCCAATGCGGTCGGGTTTGTGCTGTCGGAGGAAAAGACAAAGGTTGTCCACTTTTGCCGACTCCGTAGACCGCACTATGATCCTGTGCTACTAATGAATGATCGTGTAATCAGTGTTGTTCAGGAAGTCAAGTTTCTCGGGCTTACCTTTGACAGGGAATTACGGTGGTCAAAGCATTTAAATAATGTTACTGCTACATGTAGAAAATCGCTGAACATCATCAGAGTTCTCGCTCATCATAGGTGGGGAGCTCACCCTAAGACCCTACTGGATATATATAAGGCCCTCATCCTATCAAGGATGGATTATGGATGTGCAGCGTACTCTACGTGTGGTAATAATGCTTTGCTTGGGGAACTTGATAAGATTCAGAACCTGGCTATTCGATATTCTTTGGGAGCATATCCAACAAGTCCAGTTCCATCGCTCTACGTCGAGGCAAATATTCCCCCTCTAGCTCTTCGCCGGAAACAGATTGTTGCAAACTACTATATAAAAGTAAGGTTAGATGATAAACATCCAAATTTTAGATCCCTTACTGATGCGACTACCATTGCTCGTCTATACAGATGTAGATCGTTAGGTGTTAGGGCTAGAGAGGTATTAAACCACCTCCATTTGGAGAATATTGACTTCACGAGTATGTCATCTACTGCACGGCGTGGACTTGTGAAAAGTAAAATCTATGAGCGGTGGAGTGAGCAGTGGTCGGAGTCTGATACGGCTTTGAAAAGGATCAAACCTAGTCTGGATCCGCTATTCTATATCGACGTTAGACGTTTGAACTTGATCAGGCTGTACAGACTCCGTCTGGGGCATACTGCTCTCACTCAGGGGTATTTGTTGGCAGGTGAAGAACGGCCATTATGCGAACAATGTGGTGTTAATTTAACACCACATCACATTATTTCTATTTGTCCGCAGTATATGAATGTACGTGTGATATTTAATATAAACCTGATATGGGAATATAACTTTAAAAATGAAGAGCAATGTAAAAATACTCTCGCGTTCATCCAACAAATTGGTATTGCAAACCATCTGTGATATTTTTAAATTTTTGTCTTTATGTATATTTGTGTAGTAAATAAGTAAATGTAATCACGCCTGTCTTGTTTTGTGTGTTCAGAAACTGTGATATTATAGTACCTTAGTGTAAGTATAAAGGCTAATGGCCATAGATGCCGAAGCCTCAGGTGGGGTTTTAGTGGGTATACCCAGATAATGGGAGAGTCCCACACTACTCCGGACTTCTATCCGGAGTGTGCGTAATGCATTTCCCCACCTGTCCAAAAAAAAAAAAATCAAAAAAAAAACAAAAAAAAATTATATTTAAAAAAACATTCTTTTAAAGCGGGGTACTTATTTAATTGATAGTATGTATTATCTGAATCATTAAAATATTCATTGCACTGTACAGCAGTTAATCCCGTTATCGTTTCTTTCTTCTAATTCTCACAGACTAATCCTTTACCAGTACCTACCCGCCGTTAAATACACGGATTGAGAAATTTCAAGAAAAAGTAGGTGTTAGGGATTCGATTAATCTAGGTGCATAAGTGAATTTGCATAAATACCAAGAAAGTCTTGGATTTTACATTTACTTAGTAGCCCAAAATGACGCCTGTTGCAGAACTCAATTTACAAATCATTCGATTTGCGACATATCGCTCGATGTGATTTTAAATATGCTTATAGGGAATTACTACTAAAGAAGTTAAGGCAAAGTGGTGTGCTTAAAATGCCGAAAAATCACAAAAACTTAAATGGAACACATTTATTCTTTAAATAGAAACGATTTACTCCGCTAATGTTAAATATTGCACAGAAAACATTTTTATATAAATTAAAATTGATCTTTGGATCTATACTAGTGGAAGATCGATTATAAAATAATCTAGATCCAGATACAAGATCATCATCTAACAAGGATCTACATCCATGTGATGGATCTAGATTACTACCGTTGTATATACAATGATACTACCCAACACTGCTTAGGTAGGACAATCCATAGTTTCTTTTAGGTATTAGCAAAGAATACATTATTAGTTACTCTTTGGTATTAGTTTAGCTGCGAATAGAACCTACGATTGGTGTCAAATATTTGTTGTTCCTTTCTATGAAAAAATTGGCATACTATTTTGCACCCGGGTAATTGATTAACTGATTGTTGTACAGAGCGTAGCAAAAAAATGCAAAAATTATGAGACACTAAAAGGGAAAGACCAAGCTTAATTACAATACCTATGTGCAAATTAGCCGTAATTCATTCTGCACAACAAAAGTAGGCACTGTTTACTTTTAATTAAAACTGTTGCTCATTTGAGGGTTCAAAAACCAACAAACGATTTCGAATAATTTCAACGTCACTCTTCTTTGATCTTTTCAATTTTAACTTGGGGCGCGATTGATGTCTCACCTGTCACCATTATGCAACTGTGCCACAATTACCCTGGAGGCAAGTGATCGACAAATGATTACAAGTGTAATATTTCAAACCAACACAGTCAATGAACAAGTAATGTCTATATTATTCTAATTTATCAGGAATGGTGTACTGAAAAACCGTACGCAGGGAAACCAAAAGGGCTCATGTGATGTTCTTATTTACAGCAAAATTGGCTTCTATAAGCTACTTTCTGCTGAAAAACCACGATACTTTCCATGGGAAATTATAAAAATAGAGTAATTGAGTGTATGCCCAGATCCACACAACTATAAAATTGGTCTTGATTGAGCACTGCCCCCAATTACCAAATACACAAAAAACGTTAAACTTTCAAAAGGCATATAAATATAGGAGAAACAGGGGTACATTGATTGCCATGTAAAGTGTCCTCGTTAAACCCATTAATCTAGAATGACTAACTTTCAATAAAGGAAAAGTAGATTAAATACTGTGTAAAAAATGGGAAATAGAAGAAATCAATAGCTGTATATAATTTTTTAACAAATAATTTCCTTTTTCAATATAATTCCGACGTCGAACGATGACGCTCGAGAAAGAGTACGTTGAGTGGGTGGGATAGGAATTCGTCAGTCAGTATACGTTATTGCGGAAGGTTAGGTGTACATGCCTAGTGTTTAAATTGAGCGATTCGCGTATTTTTTGCGTATGAGGAAACTTATTCCGGTGCCCGTTTTCGATCGAAATTCGAAATTCAAGTGTGTTGAACTTTCAAAAATGTGGTTCTGGCTGCTTTGGGCCGCCGGCCTCGCTTCATTAACAGGTGTGTTGCTCATACGTTAAGATAGTGTATACCTTTATTTGATTGGGCAACTACACTTACCTGTGAAGTTGTACTTGACTCGCCGTCGTTAAATCGGGTTTTTAACTCTATTTATAGCGTGGACGCGGTTTACTTTTGTGTGCATTGTTTCTTTATAAATTGCAAATGAAAGTTGCAGGATTGCGCTCGACCTTTTTTTTTAAAATCGCGTCCATGCTAATCCCTTGAAAGCCGACTGCTACCAAGGATTAACTCTATTTGAAAAACTGCGAGTGTTGAAATTAACTTATAATTTTCGGCTTTGCACAGTTAGCAAAAAGCAAAAAAAGCTGAATTTTCCCGAATCTTAGGGGTTGATGAATTCTTACAAAGTATGATAAATTTAGACACCCCTAAACTTAACGATGTGGGTAATTAATCAAGTGGCATTTACCAGTTTTTCGCGAAAATTTGTTTATTCACACATTAATTTGATCTAGTTTAGTGTTACGCATTAGTAAGATATGTGGGAATGAGTAATGATTAGACTAATACACCACAATTTTTGTTTGGTGCACGGTTTGGAATTTGCGACATTTTTCCCTTTGAATTATGAATATCTTATCTTGCGTGCAATAAACTTATGCTCAGATAAAAATGCCAGGTGGACCTGCCATTATCGGCCTACCGGCAAACCACTCGATGTCTGCGTCTGGATTTTATTGCCGTTTTCGTACAGATTTATTTGTTGCATTTTTGCAGTTTATCACAACTTACAATAATGATCATCGGGTGCCCTTTTTTGTGATTGTGGTATCTGGCCATTTATGAAAGCTTTCGGGTTTTTTAATTCACCTTTTGGTAATAACCCAGGTAATAATTAACGTTGTAAAACCACTGTCCAGTGCCCAATTTCAAGGCAAAATTTTCGAAAATTCCGTTTCTCAATCTCCATCAGGAAGAATCTTTTGGTGGTAGTAACCAGATCTCTGACCGGTACCTTTGAATATATAATTTTATATTCAAAGCCAGTACTGATTTTACTAGTACCATATGTGTGGTTTGTAATCTCGTTTTTAATTATCGGTACTGGGACATGTAAGGAGTACTCATTGCACATTTAAAACGAAACGGAGCTATCTTGAGATGTTAAAAACTTTTCCTAAAATTTCGATATTCGTATATCTGATGGTACCTATGCCAAATCATTTTCTTCAAAAATCATCGACTCACAAAATATGATCCTTGAGCATCGATTGTGAGTTTGTACTTAATTTAAATTTGAAAGCTTAGTGTCAGAAATGCTCAA